GCATGGGGCGATGCAACGTCGTACGGCGGCGGCAGGGGGGCAGGGTTCTGTCAGTCAGGCGGCTGGGCGGTCTGCTGATGCCGCGACGATGGCGCGCCAGGCACACACATGACCGCCGCGCGTGGATGGTCGGCACTCTCCCGCCGTCCTTGTATTACGAAGCTTTGGTAAATGTTGGGGTCACCGGCGGAGGCACACGTTTGTTTCGGGTGTCCAGCGCGGAGCCTTCAAAGAATGCGCCCGAGAGGACGGGGGAGGGGGGGAGGGGCGAGCACGGCCTGAATCATAAGCACGAGGAAGCAACGAAGTGCGGGAGGGGCGCTGGCCCAGAGGTGCACTTGCTAGTTCGCAGGGGACACCGACCCCCGCCGCACGTCGCGCGCGGGTGCAGAGAGAATCCACCATTTTCAGGGATCCCATGCCAAAGGCAGCGGGGAGTGGCACGCGGGGCGGCCCTCTGCTGCCCGGCTCCTCCCAGCCGCGCGGTGCTCTGAGGCAACACCTGTCGCCTGACTGAAGCGGCAAGCGGCACGTGGCGAGGGTGGAGAAAGGAGGGGTTGGCCCCGCGCTGCCAAGAACGGGCCCCTGGCCATGCCCGGCGGCCCCTGCCGGCATTGAGGGGAGGGGAAAGAGGCACAGGGGCGGTGCAGGAACGGCGGCTGCGACGAGCCCTGAGGCTCCGCGGGCAGGTGGGGGGGCGTGTGGACTTGGAAACCATCCCTTTGATCAAAACGGGGCGCGCCGAAGTGCACACCTCGGACACTGACTGGACAAGTGAGTGCATCCTAAATGCCGCTGACGGGCGCGCTCGCCAGCCAAGGCGGTGGGGGCCTCGGGCGAAGGCGGCGCCTGCGCCCAAGCGGTCCCAGACTGTTGGCGCGAGCTGGGTGTGCGGCCCAAGGGGTTTGCTGCCGCCTCAAGATGGCGGCGCCAGGAATATGGAGGAGATGCCATCTCAATATGCCCAGGGATGACCGCAGCAATGCAATGCGTTGGGTTGTGGGCCTCATATTTCTCTACTGCTATGGCTCATGTGTTGCCGAGTGAGCGACCCAGCACGGGGCAGACGGCGATGCGGGCGCGCGTGCACACGGCTGCAGCAGGTGAGCAAGCCGCGGGCCGCGCCTGCTGCAAGGGGTGTGGCGGGGCGGCGGCGCTCGGCCCAACAGGTTGGCAAAACACGACCCGCCCCGCACCCCCAGCCCCGTGCACAGGCAGTTTCATGCGTTTGCGATCCGCCCGCCCATTCGGAACAGGATCCTGCTCAACACTGGGTCCCCGCAGCGACCGTTTAGCCGCGCCGCTCGCGTGGGCACAGCGCCTTCCCACCACCCGCTGAGCAGCTGCCACGCAGGTGGTGTTGGCAGTTGTGGTCGTTCGACTTGCAGATCCCGGCAAGGGTAGGCTGTCACGGGGAGAGCGCCGCCACAGCCACACCGCCATCCTCATCCCCGGCCGCTACCACCCGCATCGGCTGCTGCTGCTGCTGCTGCTGCTGCTGCTGCTGCTGCTGCTGCTGCTGCTGCTGTTGCTGCAGCTCCGGCGGTATGGTCGCATCCAAGCCGCCCTGCGCGACGGCGCGCACCCTCACATAATCCGGCTCGAGCAGCTTCCTCTTGTCCACCCGACTTCCAGTCTTGAGATCCAGAAAGTGCGACGCGTCAGGCAGGGATGTGATCCAAGAGTCCGCCCGCCGCCGCTGCAGCGCCGCCGCGCCGATTGAAATGTGCGAGAGCCCCTCATCGCCGCCCCGTGTATGCCCGCCACCGACACGGCAGCTCACGACCAGGGCGCCAGGGCGGCCGAAGCTGAGGCGGCAGAGGAAGGTCCCGGGCGGGTGGCCGCGGAGTGCTGATGTGGCGGCGGCGCGGTCGCAGTCAAGGCCGGCCACGGCGACGGCGGGGGCGGAGCGGTCCCAGAGCTGGGTGTGTGAGAT